AATTTCACTGGGGATCGAACTCAGGATGCTGGAGTATAGTGAATTAAAGGCGAGCGGCCGGACACTGCGCTATCACGGCTCTTAATTTAAAGAAATATTTATTTTTAGTTCGCTTTACATGGCCTTTGTTGTGTATAATAATATTTATGGATATAAGCTAATATTGATATGTTTTTATTGCTATAAATTATTGAAATTATAAGTCATTCCAAACTGTGACGAGCAATTGCGTCGACTTTGGTCCCTTAATCTCTTCCCCAGATTTCCATGCATAAAATCGCCCACGCCACAAGTCTAGTTGCCAAACAGAGGTGGCACTAACTGAACGTCAAGTTGATTTATCGCCATTTCCCCCACGTTATTAACATGGTAATGGGCCGCGGATCGCTTTCTTAGCGATACTTAATGATACGGGATTTGCGGGATGATTGCGCGGGATAATGTCCGACACCGCGGCGGAGGGATTACGGTTATCTGGAGTTCCCAGTTTGCGCAAATCTACGTTGTATCTACCCGCCGCTCGACTGCATTACAAGCGAGTTTTTCCAGTCGGCGCGAGGCATGCTCCCCGTGAACAGATTTCTTGTCATGCTCTTCGCATCGTAATAGTTACTATTATCGTGCTTTTACTTGCTTAACATATATGTAAGCTGTGGTCTCAATTCGCGAGATGAGAGTATCAAGTATATTTAACATATTTTTGTAGAGTAGAGTAATGTAGTGTACTCATAATAATTGATTGCTGGTTGGTTCATCTCATATGAAGCATCGGTTTCATCAAATATATGACATGTATTATATGAATCAATATTATTTATTACATTTATTACATGAAGTAGTATGTTCATTCATGTCCTTTGTAAGTTAAGCTTTTACATAATTATAAATAAGGTTATGTGAGTGAAGTTGTTTGATTATTCTTGTAATTGATTTTTAGGCTCTTGATTTCCATTTTTTTTTGTGTATTATCATTACAGTGTATTTTATCCTAAATAAATACATTTCCATAGTTATACAACGAAAAAGATATTACTATTTTTTTTCGTAGCCTACTCGTCTCAAATGAAACGTGTTAACTTGTAATACGTATACAGCTAACGAAGCGAGATACTCACAGTGACGTGAATGGTATTCCATCTGCGTCATTCAAAACACCAGCCGCGCTAAAAGGTGCTCGACACGCCAAAATATTTGTTCACCTATCCGACGTCCCGCAGGACCGTTGTTTCTATGAATAAAATAACAATTATAAGTGATCCCCGCCCCTCCGGCGCGTGCCTAATTCCGTTTGAAACAATATTCATCTGGCGATTTACTTGCGTGACACACAGCTGCCAAGGTTGTGAAGCTGTTGACTCTCTAACTATACTTCAAAGTTTATACTTTTCTCATTCTGTGTACTGCAGCATTTCTTATAGAATTATCATTAGCTCTAGTCTACATTGTATTATTTTGTTTGAATCTGTTCCAAAGCAAAATGTTACCAAACATGCAGTTTAATTTCTTGTTTGACAAACCGTTGCGCTGTATATTCAACGTTGGATACATGAAGTTTGCCTTGAACGTTATTCCTCCCGCTATTTGATATGGGATTGCGACTCGTTGCCGAAATTTAGTTTTGATGACGCCCACGACGATAAGAGTAAGGGTGGCGGATTAAATGTTGGCGGTTTTACAATTAGTTTGTTTTATATATCTCACTAACGTCGTTATGTAGTGAATTGTTTATTTCACTATGATTAATATATGGTATACTTTATCTAAGTAAATAAGTAGCTCTTACTTTATCTAAGTAAGCTCTGTACAGAAGGCATTAGGGCACAGTCGTTTGTCACCATGCAACTCCATTGCGGATTGGCGGTCTTCACATATCTTCCAAATATTTTTTTTTGTTATGATTTCGAAAATATTCAGGTTTCCTCACGATGTTTTCCTTCAACACGTGCTAAGTCAGCACTTAAAATTAAGAATTTCTTTGATGCCCGCACCGGGGTTCGAACTCGGGTATATTGAATAAAAAGTTAGCGACAAAGTAGTTACAGTACACGATAAAATTGTGAAGAAATGCCCATAAAATTAGATAATGATCGCTGTATATTGCGGATATTGCTGTTATAAAACGTCATATGGTTTGATATGTTATAGCATATTTAAATTAATTCCTAAACGAAATAGTTAATAACTGAAAAGGTTACATTTTATGAGATCTAACTAAATATATATTACTAATTCAAGTACTCATTGCGAAGTCTAATTAAAATGTTTGAAGTAAAGTTCGGAAAACTTTTACATCTGACTTTTTTATATGGCTTAGGGTTTTAATGGTAAAGTATGTCAGCTGTTTTTTCTGTAAGTTTTATATTTGTAAGGAATAATTAAGGATTTGTTAAAGCTAAAAGCTCGGGAGTAATTTATTATAAATAAAAATTACACAACCCATTATAGAACCCATTAGGTTTTTTAGAAGTTAAACACGTGGTTTAAAAATGAACTAAGAGATTTTTTAAGCCAATATGTACAAAATTATATATTTTTTTAAGGAAATATCTTATTTCTCCGCTAATTGCATGTAAATATTAGCGTTTTGCTGAAATTGCCACTGTGGTCGTAAAACATGATGCAGTAACAGCTCGAAGGGTTAATGGTGTGTATGGGGAATGAATGAATTAAATATACTTGATTATACACTACAATTAATATTGAATAATCAACAACAAATTATACAAATCTGTATAATAGGCCCGGCCTTATCACTAAAAAGCGATTTCTTCCAGGCAACCTAGTAAAATCAGATAATAAAAACAGTAGAACCTACTGTAAAAGAAATCACGGCACTTTTTGATTCGAACGTTTTCGTTCTGGAATTTTTTCAAACCCCGTGGACAACCGGACTATTTGACAGCGAATAATTAAAGATGATTGTAGTAGCAGATCCGTCGCAAGGCACGCTAGAACTAGCGGCAGTCTTCGTTGTAAGTGTCAAAACAATTTTAAACAAATTGGTAAGATGAAAAAGCTCGAGAAATATGTGCCGCATGAATTCAGTGAACACATCAACAAACGGGAATTGTGTGTTGCGTTAATTACGGTTTAAATAGCGGAGGATCTTAAAAAAACCGATTTAATTTAAATATATATTTAATAAAGATTTTACAAAAGTCCTTAACTAATTTTAACACTAATTTCTTAAGACACTAAGGGATGTCTAATCATGTCCAATCAGTCCGAAGTTAGGATGACAAAAGGCGCCGCGCTTTTCCGGTGGTCGATTATATTGAAGGCAGCATCGGTCATTGCTCAATTGATGCAGGTGCAGTATGGTGGTGACTGGGGATGTAACACGTTATATTATTCAACCGGCACAATAACGATGGAATTTTGAATCGAATCGAACCCTGTACTACAATCGGAAACGCCCTTCACAGTAGTTGAACCCAGGAGAATTGGCTAAATCCTGTTCCAAGCGAAAGTTGACTCAGGAAAAGGCACAATTTTTCAGGGATGGAATCAATGAACTTCCTATAAAACGCCGAAAGTGCATAGATAATAATGGTATATACTTCTATTAATTAAATATATAATTTCAATTTTTTTTATTTATTTCACTTTTGCCAATAATAAAACGCCATTTTTTAAATTGTAAGGATAAAAAATAAATGTATATATGAATAAAGATATTGTCCCCTTATATATTGTTTATGCCATTTTTATATTATGATGATATATGATAGTATCATCATAATATAAAAATGGCATAAACAATATATATGAAGGAAATGGCTACGGCTATCAGAATATGCGATAATATGACTAATAGTCATCGATGATGCTTTATGCCAACATAACAGTAAAATAACCGCTGGGAGCATAAAATGGCGGCAATAAAAGCGCGGTTGTAAACTTGTTTTTACTGAAACTTGCCTTTATAGGGGAATAACCATAAAGCAAGAAGTTTAGCGAATGATCACGCTTCGATATCTGTGAAACGTCCCATCTGTCCTTGTCAAATATAGCATGGAAGTGTTTGAATTCAGGCATAGGTACCTTTTTACATTAGCTCACAACAATTTCCCACAGAGATAGGAAGAGATAATAGAGCAACATCTAGACAACCTACACGATCCTAATACTTGACATGTGTCTTTTGATGACTGATGTTCTGTGCTTTCAATCCGTAATTTATATCCATTTTTTATAGTGTATTAATTATGTTTTACCGTTTAAACAAATTACATAGTAAGTATAAGATTTTACACGATAGACTAAAATGTAAAAAGATGAAATATTTTTCGCGGCGTTGCTTAGTGGTTTGGTAATTTACGACAGTTATCAGTTGCCGTCGCTATGAGGCGAGTTATTTCTTCCACCTTGAAGATTTCACATTTTGATAGTTCTTTTTACTGGTGATAAACATATTTTTTTCTGGCGACGTCGTTCTCAGATATAATTAGCGCTTATAAAGTGTTTTTTCGTAGATATCTATGAACATAATATGAGCGAGCGTATTATTTTATCTCTATTTATGAAATATGCGTGGTTTGTTTTACAGTTTTAGATTCAAATATACATACCCAGGCCAGTTATATCAATATATGTACATTTATTTAACAGTGGTAGGGCCACAAAACAGTGTTCATTGTTGTATGTCCGTACAGGTCCATCCGGGTATGTACCATAACCACACAGAAGACCTACCTAAAGTCGAAGTGTTACATTTCTGCGATTCGTCTGGTGAGTGAGATAGCCGGGGCCCATTTTATTTAAAGATTACCGCATTTGTACGTGTTGCAAATTTCCATGGGCAGCGGTTTTCACTGAACATCAGGTGAACCGCCTGCTCGTTTGCCACTTTTTCACAGAAAAAAAAATATGCTCAACGAATAACTAACTATATTTACGAACTTTACATTTTGTATCAAAAATAAATGCAATCGCACTATGGCATCTAATCTAAGAATACGTCCGTCTACTAGATCAACGATGCGGCGCGACGTGTAAAAATGACCATAGCCGAGTATTCAATACACGCTTATCTCTCGCCGATAAGCGCCCGACGTTACGGGAGCCCCGGCGAAAATTCCTCCCCCGTCGCGTCGGCCCCTCGGCGAATGATCGACTCGCTTATTATTTGGCGTGTACGCAAACATTTAGCGGCCTTATCGCGGCTATTAAAGATACGGCTTCATTACCCGGCGAAAGGTTGCCTTTCGGTGCTTTTGTACGCGCCTCTTTGTTCCCGCGCCCACGTTTTCCACACAATCACTTCGCCCCGTTCGTTGTGGCCCGTACGATTTTTTCCCTTGATTTCGATTACGGGCCGACGCGATTAATCTTCGCCGACGTGTGGTACGTTTCGTGTTCACGTGTTCTTTAGTCGCTGAATATGATGACGAGATCAGCTGATGAAAGGTCGTAATGTTCGTTCGTTTTCCAACAGTAGTGAGGCCTTTGCTATAGGTGGTACAAAAGCCCAAATACATGAAGTTAGTGTGGTGATAACAACACAATAATCGAGACCATTGTGTAATTAGTAGTTAGTTATTTTTTTATTTATTTATTACTGCGCACGTGAAAATTTATGAAAGAAATGAGAGCATTTAAACGTATTTTACGAGGAAGTTTTGTATGTACTAAAATATCGATATTTCACCATGTAAGTGACTAACTTTATCAGACATTCCGCATTATGTATGTTGAATGAAGCGTTTTATTTCATTATTTATTGTATCAAACGGGCTTTTTACGCCATTTTTACGTCCCCGCAGCGCCATTTAGATAAAACAGCTGACGTTCATTTCCTAAACGACGCAACATTTAAAAACTGTAACGTTGTGTGGGCTTGCACTTAGTTGTTTGTAATGGCTTACCGTAATAAATATTTATTAGGATGATGTAATTCCACATTTTGTTATATCGTACTTATGCCGTATGGACTGGTTCAAATATTTTACATTATTTAAATAACGAAAAGGTGAAATGTATCCCTACATTTCACCTTTTCTTGGAGTTCTTTTACTTATTAACTCACTTGGAACATTAACTTAACAACAAGCTTTGGCACGACCAGCTGTTACTCAAAATAGATAATTAATATTTTTGAATGAGCTTCAAAATTCTTTTGATTTTATTTTAATAACAATAACCGCAGCTTATCTTCATCTATTTCGAAGATTTCCGGAGGTAATCATATCTATCCTAAGTAATAAATAACTGAAAAAGGTATGACGTCTTACATATGTATCTGATAAACTGTATCAAAATGTATTGGTAAATTCTTTGTACTTTACTATTCAATTTTGAGCGTGGACTGGAAAAATTTTAACATTTATTATCAATCATTGTTTCGTTATTTTTATTACCGAATTTGATACAGATGATTTTTCATAGCCCGTATCTCTTTGAACCATATTGTAAAAGCAAAATCTTGGGGTATTTCAAGATCAATTTCTAAGTGCATATTTTTAGGTCCATTTTTCGTGTCCTTTGCATAAGATTATCATGAATAACTATGATACTATGAATAACCTTGACCATTGAGCAAAGGGTAAAATAATATAGGAAGAGAGCAACAAATCGTATATTGTTCAATTCCTAAATCATATAAGAGTATGTTATTAGAAAATCATATGCCAAATGAGTAAAAATCGTAATCTATGAATAAACACAAACAATTACTTTATGTGTCTGGACCCCAACTGCAGAAGAATTGGCAAGTGTAGCGATCTTTGGAGAAGATGGAACATGATAATAAAATCAGTTAAGTTGTTTATCGTAAATATGTTACAATATCACGTTGTTCCTCTACCATTCGATTATGATAAAAGTAATGAGTCTCCGCCATCACACCTAGCTTTAGCCAGTACCAGAGACTACTTGCTAACACGCATTTGGCAACTGCTTTGATGTGCCGCACATTACTCGTTTATTATAAATAGGTCGACGTATAATGTAACGTCATGCGTGGGTCGAGGGAAATGAACTGGAATCTTTCAGATAACGCACACAGCGACGTGCGGAGTCTGCACGCACACAGGCACCCAAATGGCTCTCTTAGGGTTGAGTTCGTGCAATGTGATGTAGGTGACATCGATAATTTGCTGTAATGGGGTGTAAGTGCCAAATTGAATGTGTTTAAGAGCAACTTGAGGGTAGATTCATTGCTACGCGTCCTTACCAATCAGTTTTAATGAGTAACTGTTATGTTTCGTTGCTAGTAATCTTTTTGGTCACCTTTATTCTTTTAGTGAGCGTATTAACAGTAAAAGTTTGGTGCTCAACCAGCAAGTGTAGAGAAAACAAATATATCGATAAGAAAATCTTTACATAAAAATAAGCTATATAATATTTGCGGTCATATGTTAAGAAATAAATATGTATATTTTAGGGAGGTAAACACAAAATTACATTAATTTATACATAAGCTTGAGGATTGAAATAAATTTGATTCCGTAAAGTCAGTGAAACGGTTTATTCTTAACAATATGTAGTATCCATTAAAGCGTAAGAAGTGCTTGTTTGCATAACTCCTTTAAACTTAAACTTAATTTAACAGCTTAAGCTTGTTAGCAGAAATTGCTTAATGTAGAATAAATTACAAGGTAACGGACCAGAGCCCATATCTACATGAGCAGAGTTCCGTCACATTAAGGTCCGCACAATTGCACGTCAAAGGAAGTGACGAGAGATAAGGGTGGCCACTGGTTCCGTATATTATTTTACACCCCCTAGCTCCGTTCAGCCAAGGAGAGTTTGAAGCGGAAAATTGTGTTTAAAATCATTTCGTGTATCTTATGTAAAATTTTAACTCTAGGTACACGCGGGACGTAGTTTTATAGCTCTTGAAATTTGTTCGCTCAAAGCAAGGGCTTATTTATACAGTTCAGTATTGATTCAATTTATTTATAAATGAAGTGCGATTTCTTTTAATTACCGGCCAGAAGAGCTCTGAGGTTACCGTTGGACATATTACGGACCGAATAGTGTGCAAACATATCTTGACGTCAAGGTAAACCCGAATTTATGCTACAGTATTGGGTTTTTTGGATTTCTTGAGCCGTGAAGGCTCCGTGTCCGGGCGCTCGCCTTTAATTCAATATACTCGAGCGACCTGAGTTCGATCATCTAGTGCCGGCACCAATGAAGTTTTTAACTTTAAGTGCTGACTTATCTCGTGTTCCGCGGTGAAGGAGAACATCGTGAGGAAACCTGCATATTTTCGAAATAATAACAAAAAAATATATATTTCGAAGATATGTGAAGTCCGCCAATCCGCAGTGGGGCCGCGTGGTGGACTATGCCCCGATACCCTCTGTATAGAGGAGGCCTTTGCCCAGCAGTGGGACATGTATAGGCTGTTACTTTACTTTATTGGGTTTTTTAGTTCTGGTAACATTGAAAAAATGACGTCTCTTGATAACGGCTGTTTTTTTATTAATTTCGAGTAAATTGATTTTTTTAAATAAAGTTTTTGAATAACAAAGAAATATTATAAAAATGACATTATTTTACGAAGGTCGACTCCTATGATGAAAACATTATTATAATGCATGTGATACGCCCTAGAATATATAATATATTAATATTGGGAGATATGTTTCCATAAGTTTCATTCATATAGAACATTTTTACCACATCGAACACGTTTATTCTTTCAGCGAAAATCTCATCAATCACGAATTCTTTCCTAGCCCTTATCTCACCAATGAGTTCGTAAAGAATTAACGATGTGTAATTTATTACGTCTGTTAATCAATCAAGATTATACGATGGTTCTTATAGCTAAGTATCATGGGATACACTTCATTATATTAGCTAATACTTTTGTTTAACGAAACTGGTGCTCCAAATCACTAAAGTGAGGGATTAAAATAAATATTGTTAATGACAGAAATTGCATGGTGTTAGTCCTATAAGGCTTGATAGTATTTAGAAACCGCTATTAGCAGCTTTAGGAGTAGTTTAATCAAGTAAGGATCTTGAACAAACTACCTTTTATTCTGGAGGATACAGACCTAGCCAGAATTACTAATGTAAATAAAGAATTACCTTGGAAGTTTTGATCTTAAGTGTGAAGAGAACATATTGAAAGCTTTAGCGTGCATTAAATGTTTTATTATCTTAAATTGATATAAATAATCTATTGGTAATAACAAAATTTGGTCGATGGTGATTGTCCTACGGAGCTTAGTGATTTGTAGCATCTTAAAAAGTTGATTATTTAAGTAAGGAACTTGAACATACCGCCTCTTATTCCGGATGATACTGACTTAGTGAGACGGACTTACACGGGTAACGTGTAAATATGAAGTTACAGTCGTAAGTGTGAAGAAAAAATATTGAGATCATTAGTAATTATGTTATAATAATGAAGCTCACCATTGCTTGGTTTAACTTTTAAGAACAACACTGGGCTTATATTTTTCACAAAATGCGAAAATCATATGTTTGCTATATCAACTAATTGAATCGTTGATTTTCAAACAACTGGGGCATCGAATATGGGCTGTAAAACTGATCTGTCGAAAACCTGATGGTTTTACAAAAAATATTCGTCATTTGTAGTGAAATTTACCGTAAATATCTTAACGGAATAATGCGCAAGCGGAATTTTGCTACGTTCCAACTTTGCGAACAAGAGTGAAAGAGAAATAAAATATATCTCAGGCAAAACACCCTATAAAATGGAATTGTCTCGAGGACTTTATAAAAGCGATAACGACTAAAGTTGTTCGGAGCTTTGTTTCAGAGCTTACATAAACGCGGCCAACGAGCGGAGATCTCCCTTGCCCCCCTCGCGGATCGCGTTCCCGTTGAGAGCGATGATGCTGAGCGGAGCATCACGGGTCCAACTAAGCTGGACGTCGCGTACCTAGATACGCGGCTAAGTAAAAAAGAGAAACCCAAGGAGTGTCCGTCTCAAGCCCCGCCCTGCGCGCGACACGCCCCCAAGATCCTCGGCGGAAAGGTCTAGAGAGAGATACTTCTTCAGATTTAATGTAATATACCTAAATGACGTTGTTAGCGAGGCCCAGACGGTTCGCGTTGCAAAGTTGCAAGCGTGTGCGTGTCACGAAACACTTGTGTGTGTATCATACATGTACACATGTACTTCACCTGTCTGGAGTGTTTGTAGAATATGTTTAAGATGCGACAGAAAATTTGTTGGCAGGCGCAATCGGAGAATGTACGCAACTGTGAAAAATTAAATTGTTTTGTCCGAATATAAGATTTATTCGTCTTTTCGTTAAAATAACTATTTCAATATATATTTGTTTTCATGTTATTTAAAGTTCTAAGAAACCTAAAAATATAAAGCACATCAATTCAGACGTATTCGAACCCGATGCAACGGTTCCAAAAAGTATTTAATGTTTATTTTATGTGGAGTATGAATATGTTGGTGTTAGAAATAGACCTATAAATATATCTATTGGAATTATTCAGTATAGAACATAATTTTTGATGCTATAATTATTTTCACATCTTAAAAATAAAACATTTTTCTTAATAGTTGTTTCGTTGTAAAAGCTTTTATTCTTATATCATTATGATACTTATACAAATCAAGCTTATTCTATTTGAAGTTAACGTTATATGCTGCTGAAGTAATCTTACCATAAATTATGTTGTGATAGGTTGACTAAAAAGAAAAACTGTAACAAAGATGTTTTGAACGGTACTCGTATTGTAAATATGTGGTTATAAATAAATTAGATTAAATGTTAATAATAAATAAAGCTTAATTAAGTAGAAATAATTTTAAGTATGGTAGAACCACGCTATTGCTGTTCCAAGAATGGGCAAATCCGTCCGGGGAACTCGCAGAAGACCGGCGTGAAGTCGAAGTGTTATACTTCTGCGTTTCGTCTGGTGAGTGAGGTAGCCGGTACACATTTTATTGTAAGGTGGTAACGCATCTGCAACCCTACGGATGTTGTAAATTTCCATGGGCCGTGGTTATCACGTAACGTCAGGTGAACCGCCAGCTCGCTTGCCACCTTCACTCATAAAACAAAAAAAAATATATGAAACTGAAACCTATTGTATTCATTAAAAGGCCAAAGTCAAATTGTCGTAACGGTAGCGTAGTAGTTTTAAGTGAGACCCTTAGCTGAGGTTTCTGTTAAGTAAATACAAATGAAAACAAGCGAAGAGTGTCACGGCGCCCGGAAGCGGATACTCGTTTAATTTTTAATTCGTTGGGTAGGCGACGCGACGCTGTCGTCGGCGTCTTCCTGCCCGTCGCTTCCGTTGCGAGCGTTCCTTTTTTAAAGGTTGTATTTCCGGTTTAACCCTGGAGCCGATGTCACGCGAAGTCGGACATGGGTACAAACAAAAGAATATTCATTCTAATTTCTTCCTGAATGCTAAATGTTCTCTGAGAGTTGGTCTTTTGTTATAATAGAAGTTAAGTTACTGCTTTATTTTAAAGGAACACTGTCATGCAAAATGACTATTTATACAGTGTTACGAAAAATTAAGATAAATGCAATTAAAGTATATACAATTTTAAGAAACTGGAAGATAAACAGGCTGGATAGCTTTAATATTTTTTTTGTTTAAATTTTACAGTTGGCTATAAAACAAAGTTTTGCAATATGTAGGGTTGATTCGCATTATTTTTAAATTCTGTCTAATTCTCTACTACCAAAGACTCGATAATGTACGGAACTCGCGAAAAACTCGCGACTGTCGTCCGAGCTACGTTAATATCGTTTAAAATAAAAATATACAGCTGTCGTTGCTCTCTGTCTGCTTCATAAATGAATAAGCTCTTTCCGCGATTATTTTTCCGCCGAGCGAACGTTTTTTCCCCGCTTTGAATGAAAAATCCAGTCCGCCGGAAATTATCATTAATTATGAATCGGGAGATTAAGCGGCAGTCATTGCTCTGTCGCTTATAAACTGTGAGAGGCGAGCGCGGTAATATCGCTGAAAAATACCCTTTCTAAAATTGCTTCATGAATGGTTGATACACCGTTAATACAACCGTAAAGTAATCAAATTTGTATCGCGAAACTTTATTTGAGACTTCACACGATTTTAAACATTTCGTTGATTGCTGGTTTAACATCATAAATTTGTCCATAATCAGAAATACTATAATGTTAATTTTTCCATAGGATTTACACCTTTCTCCAAAAGCATTTTTCGTATTAATCTGCGTGAAAGTCAGAAGAGAAAGAAACAAAACGGGCCAAGTACGAGTGGGACTCGCACACGAAGGATTCCATACCATTATATATAAAAACGATAAAAAAATCATGTCTGTTGTAAAGGAGCCCCGCTTCACTGTTTTTTAATTTTGTTTTTTAGTATTTGTTGTTATAGCGGCAACAGAAATACATCATGTGTAAAAAATTCAACTGTCTAACTATCACGGTTCCCGAGATACAGACAGATAAACCGACAGGCAGACAAACAGACAGACAGACAAACAGCGGACTCTTAAAAATAGGATACCGTTTTACCCTTTGGGTATGGAACCTTAAAAAGAAATTAAAACACAGTTTTCAACACAGTAGCGTAAATGCTATCAATGGAAATTTACATAGTTATATTTGCAAAATATAAATAAAAAAATCCTGCATACCTTTCATGCATAACTATACAGAACATGAACCAATATATTAATAGACATTCGCTTCGCACTTATGGTCCTTCCAAAGACAAGTAACGTAAAAACAAACATTCAATTTGGACGATTGGGCCAGGGGTCGCCGCGTAAACTCGGCCGCCGGCGATGGATCTCTTCGGAGACGCAACAAATCAAAGTGGCAAAGACGAGGGCCGGTTAATGCGCGCCCTGGGCTTCAGGCCCGACGGACGGAATGGGCCTTTCGCAGTCGCCGAACAAGCCGGACTCGGGGTGATATATCTCGGGAGACATCCACCGCAAGCTCTAAATTTATCCTCACCGCCCGCAGTTAGTAACGCAGCCCGTTTTAAATGAACGCGTAAATCCTGAAATTTTAAATGTAATCTAGTAATTTGTGATATTACAAGATTTCAAACAACTTTCATCCATATGTTTTGATATGTACAGAGGCAGAGAATTTTACGTGCCGAAATGTTATAAATTTCGAATGTGATAAGTTAAACGTCTACCGTTTTGAATTAACCAGTTGTAGAAGGCCGTTAAAATCGATATCTGTATGGAAAGTCTCTAGGGTAGGTTTTTGTGATAGCAGAAGTCGCAGTTGGCAGGTTCAACCTATTGCATCACCATCTGACGGTGCCGTTATGGTATTAGGGCCACCACACGACTACACTACGAATTGGCGGACTTCACATATCTTCGAAATATTTTTTTTGTTATTATTTCATACATTCCAAAACATCCCGAGAAAAAACCTGTCTTTCTCATCGCTGAGCACGTGATAAGTCAGCACTTAAAATTAACAATTTCGTAGGATAGAACTCGAGCTGCTCGAGTATATTGATTTAAATGCGAGGGCCCGGATAGTGAACGAACATGGCTACACAAATACTGGATGGATATACTGTGAACGTCTATGTTGATTAATAAAAACATACTGTATTCTTTATTCTGTATTCTTTATTGTAATTTCATTACATTAAATTAGTGACAAAAACTATCGAAAAACTCAGCAGTAATCTGTATTAATTGGAGATACTATACATACTTACGGTGGTAGGGCCACGCAGCAGCCTCGGCTGTTGCACGAATGGGCAGGCCCGTCCGGGTAAGTACCACGACCTCACAGAAGACCAGCGTAAAGTGGAAGTATGACAAATACTTTCACGTTTCGTCTGGTAAGTGAGGTAGTCAAAGCCCAATTTTCAAAAGGTTGTCAACGCATCTGTAACCCTTGGGTGTGGCAGATGTCCATGGGCGGCGGTAATCACTTAACATCAGGTGAACCGTCTGCTCGTTTAACAACTTTTCGCATAAAAAAAACAACCCCGTTCATTGTCATCATCATCATTTCGACATGTTCGATTCCACTGCTGCACATAGGCCGCCACACAGACTGCCACGAAGAACGATACTAAGCCACCACATCCATCGACTTCCCGCACATTTGTACAGGTCATCACTCCAACTAGTCTAAGCCTATCACTCAACTAAAATATAGTTAAATACTGTGTATTTTAATACTATTATGTCAATGGATATAATATCAAAAATTCTAAAAAAATATGAAGTAAAAAAAGTAAAGTAACAGCCTATACAAGTCCCACTGCTGGGCAAAGACCTCCTCTATACAGAGGGTATATAAGAAAATATATATTTGAATGGAATCTACCTCTTGATTAGTTGACTAATTCCTGGTTTAGTAGTATTTTTTGTATGTATTAATTAAATGAGTACCATCGCTACGTTTTGTTTGACAATATCGTTTTGCGTCAACTCTACTAATGGCTGTTTAAATAGCGTGTATATTAACGACAGCCTAAGCGTACGCTGCAGTGGACGAACCCAGATATGGCCGATCGGCATCATTTCGTCTGAAGTAGAAGACAACATGATTTGTGCGCGGGAAGGGTCCCTGGGGCGCTTTCCCGTATTCCGCTAACTCCGGAGCGGCCGTTCAGAATTTATGCGGAGGATTTCTCTGTCCGCTTTAAGCAAACATTGTGTTAAATTATAATATGAACCGGAAATTGGCGACGATTTATTGTGGCTTGCCGAAGAAGTGGAGATTATAGGTGAAACTGGCCAAAACTAAAACATTAGATAAATCCGTATAGATTTACAGTTTTAGTATCAAGAGCTAAGCTGCCTGCCTAAGGTAATAGCAACCTCGGGTAGATACAGATATAGCATGGTCTAACACCTTTCACTAAAATAGGTGGAAAGTTTGTCGTTGAATACTCACGATTGAAGAATTTTGACTTGGAAGACATTGGAGGAAATCTTTATATTTTTCTTTTTTTTTAAAGATTTCCTCCTCTTTTCGATGTATAAATATTTCCCTTGCACGGACGCACTGAACAAACACA